GCAGCAGAGTTTCCCTTTCTTCACATCCTTGCCATCATTTGTTATTCTTGGTCTTTTTAATAATGCCCAGAAACTTGAGGCCTTGGTGTTATCAGCACCACACTCTCCCGAGTGAGCCATGGGCTGGCCCCTTGTACATTATCTTTTTGATCTCTCCTCAGAAAGCGTTTTTGGAGGGAAGTGGAAGGGATTGGGACAAGGGATTTGCTTGCTGATGTCCCCATTATTCTCTAGCCAATCAAGAATGCACCTCCAGGGAAAAAATATGTTCGATGCCCCTGTAACTGTCTCCTTATCTGCAAAGTGACTTCCCAGCGGATTGCCTGTCCTCGGCCCTATTGGTAAGAGGCATAAGGTGGGGAAGGGCATAAGTGGGAAAATTGGAAAGCCAAAAAAGGATTAGTGTTTATACCGAATGTAAAGGTGAGAGAGCCTGGTGTTTATTTAGAAAGAGAAAAAGCTATGCACCATTGTGCCTTGGGAATATTATAGCCATCTTTCTCATTTCTCAATTAAAAAACTGGATGAAATGGTGTTCTTTAGGAGATTGGAGAGCCACATGCACTGTTGAATTATCCTGAGGTTAAAAGGGAATTGGAGACCTTAAGTTTAAGCAGTGCTCTCCTTCAAGGATTCTCTGGTAGGGTTGGAGACAGAGTATCTTAAATGTACAGAGAAGTAAAAGAATCTGATAGGCAGAGAGTGAAGGAGGGGCAGTTTGGGAATCCTTAGGATTAAAAACTTTCAAACATAGTCTTTTTCTCCTGTGTAGCAAAAGAATCATCAACCTAGGACCTGTGCATCCAGGACCTCTGAGTCCAGAACCACAACCCGTGGGTGTCAGAGTCATCTGTGGACATTGCAAGAATACTTTTCTGGTGAGGAAGGGTATTGGGAAGCCCTGGGGTAAAAAACTAGGAGTAATTATGATTATGAGTCTATTTTTCTGAATAATGATAATCTTGAAAAGTTCTATCCCATGGGGACACGTTTCCCATCTTTCCCCTGCCCAAGGATCTCACTGAGGAGGACCCTGCTTCTACTAATGAGTTTTTCTTTCTCTGTAGTGGACAGAGTTCACAGACCGAACCTTGGCACGTTGTCCTCACTGCAGAAAAGTGTAAGTGATAAGGGATTGAGCTGATAATTAGGTAACATGTGAAGAAAAAACTACAGGACCATCACAAACATCCATTTGTTTGCCCTCCACAGGTCATCTATCGGGCGCAGATACCCACGGAAGAGATGTATCTGCTGCTTCTTGCTTGGTTTACTCTTGGCAGTCACTGCCACTGGCCTTGCTGTGAGTAATCTTGACCTAGCCCCTTTCATTTTGCCTCATCTCCATAGGTTAACATTTGGGAAATGGCTACCCTAAAAAAAGTGGAAGAAACTGGGCAGTGTGTGTGTGTGGGGGGGGGCGTTGTTTTAAGGTATGGATGAGTTGAAGGTGACTGATCAACAGTCGTTACTGTTACTAAATGAGTAAAAAACAGCCATCCTCTCTCTGTAGAGGATAGGACAATGGAAAAGTGACTTAAATTAAGAGTTGCTGGGCCGGCCCGTGGCTCACTTGGGAGAGTGCGGTGCTGATAACACCAAGGCCACGGGTTCGGATCCCATACAGGGATGGCCGGTTAGCTCAATGGGTGAGCGCGGTGCTGACAACACTAAGTCAAAGGTTAAGATCCCCTTACCGGTCATCTTTTTAAAAAAAAAAAAAAAAGAGTTGCTATTAGGAGGCCTGGCTCAGTTGCCAAACGTTAAAACTTGACAGACGTTTGTCTGTGATGGTAAGAGTATGTTCCTGCCTAAGGGAAGGGAGATGAACAACCTGAACTTTAATAAGATTCCTGAAGGTGGCTACATGTGGATAGGGAACAGGCACTGAAGCTTGAGTTCTGTGTTACTGTTCCTAGGGCTTCTAGGAAGTAGTGAGAAATCAACATAATCCCATCTTTCTTTCTCTTCTTTCTCATCTTCATCAGTTTGGCACATGGAAGCATGCACAGCGATATGGAGGCATCTATGCAGGCTGGGCATTTGTCATTCTGTTGGCTGTGCTGTGTTTGGGCCGGGCACTTTATTGGGCCTGTATGAAGGTCAGCCACCCTGTCCAGAACTTCTCCTGAGCCTGACGACCCACAGACTGTGCCTGGCCCCTCCCTGGTGGGGACAGTGACACTAAAAATGGAGCTGGAGTAAAAAGCTCCCTGGGCTTCTATAAGGAAGCCAAGCAGCTGCCTTCCTTTTCCCTGGGGAGAGGTAGGAAGGAACCAGGCCCTCACTTAGGTTTGGAGGGGTAGGTAAGACCACTGCTGGCCATCTGCTATCCTCCAAGGGTTGCTGTGTTAGGGTGAAGTAAGCAAAATGTTGCCCCTAAACCTGGGTCCTAAAGACAGTTCTAGGCTGGTCCTTCCTATATGCTCCCTGAGAGCAATTCCTGTCCCTTACACATTCCAGGGCAGGGTGGGTAGCCCTGGGGGTTCCCCTCCCTCTTGTGCACCATTAGGACTTTGCTGCTGCTATTGCACTTCACCAGGGGCTGGCTCTGGCCTCAGTACCCTCAGTCTCCTCTCCCCACATTGTGTCCTGTGGGGGTGGGGTCAGCCGCTGCTCTGTACAGAACCACAGGAACTGATGTATATATAACTATTTAATGGGGGGTATGTTCCCCTAGTCCTTTATTTCCCTTAATTCCTCCTTCCAATCTTCCTTACTCCCAGTTGCAGTATTTAACTGGGCTGGGTAGGGTTATTCTGTCTTGGGGGAAGTTAGGGACTCTTCCTGTGCTTGTAAATAAATAAGGTCATGACTCTACCCTTTCCCACTTGTTAACTTGTATGTATGAAAAGGGGCAACACACAAAGAAAGCAAGGCTGAAACTATGGCTTTTTATTTTCACATGGCTAGTTAAAAGGAAGTCATCAGTAGCTTTTAATTTTTTTAAAAGGGGTGGGGACCCAAGAAACAGAAAACTTGGGCTTAAAAGAAACCTGTTTGTCACAGGAACCTGGAGGATTCATATTTTTATAAAAGAGAAATACAGTGCAGAAATACTCTAATTTTTAAGGAAGGAATGCTAGTTTGGGTGGGGTGGGGCTTGTTTTCCAGGCTCAGAGTGATTTGGGGGAGATGTCACAGCGCTAGGTATAGGGTGATGGGACAGTGATCACTGCCAAGGGCCTTGGAACGGATCTTGCTGTCACACAATGCTGTTAACAGAGAGTGGGACAACAAGAAATAATCAAGGCGCCAACCAACATTTTTGGATCGAGCATTCATCATGTATGTCCAAAAGGTGTAGGCATAGGCCGTGTTGGGGTAGAGGTGCCGAAAGCTGTCAGCCAGCGGCACATCCTGCAGCAATTCCCCAAAGCCCTGGCGCTCTTGCGGAGTGAAACCAGCATTCTTTTTGTTTCCCTTGGGGTTCCGAAGATCAATTTCTTCATGAGCCACATTGAGGTCCCCACATAGCACAAGGGGCTTGCGGGAAGCCAAACCCTTCAGGAACTTGCGAAAAGCCTCATCCCAGCGCTGCCGGTACTCCAGTCGTACCAGACCCCGGCCTGCGTTAGGTACATAGGCTGTTACCAGTACAAATGTGTCAAATTCAGCCACAATCACTCGGCCTTCCTGATCATGTTCATCCTCACCTACAAAAATGATGAAACAGAACCAGCATTAAAAACAATAAGAAAAAGGAAAGCAATCAAGAGTTGGGGCAGGGATGGAGAATTAGCAATTGGTTTGGAAGAGCTCAGGCATTAGGGATCAACAGGGTCTCACCAATGCCATAAGAGACTTTAAGTGGGCACCGGCGGCAAAGTAGGCCCACACCACTGTACCCTTCCTTGTCCGAAGGAGCTGACCAGTACTGATGGGGTAGTTCAGTCAGCTCTTGAAGTTCAGCTGGTAGTTTGTTCTCTGAACATTTCGTCTCTTGAAGGCACAGGATATCTGGGTCTTCCTCCTTTATCCACTGTGAGTGAAAAGAAAGGCGGGAAAAGTACTATCAACTCAGCAGCAGACATTTACTGAACAGTCCATGTGCTAAATACTGTATAGACACAGGTAAGACAGTCCATGTGCGTAAGGGGTTCAACAGTCTTAGCAGCACAATATTTAAACAATTCTATAACCAACAACTAATGGAGAGAGGTAAGATTTTTAAGCAATAATTGGAATGGACGATATGCTGGAGAAAAAATGGGAAGGTCCAGTAAAGAGGTTTTTTGCAACATTTTGGGGAAGAGGAGAGGACACTGAACAAGACAATAACAATGGAATCCAAGGAATGGACATTTAGGAAATACAACTGGCAAAATTTGGTTAAGCCCCTCTTGTACATATCCTATAAGAAAATTACAGGGGCCGGCTGGTGGCTCACTCGGGAGAGTGCGGTGCTGATAACACCAAGGCCCCGGGTTCGGATCCCATATAGGGATGGCCGGTTCGCTCACTGGGTGAGCGTGGTGCTGACAACACCAAGTCAAGGGTTAAGATCCCTTTACCGGTCATCTTTTTAAAAAAAAAGAAAAGAAAAAAAAGAAAATTACAGGCAGGAGAAAGATAAAACACATTCTGGGGACTAAAATGAGAAAAGGTGATTATACCCCAAGATCACTCATACATACTCTTCCCTCCTTGAATTCCACTCACATCTAAACCTTTTTTCTTAATCCAGGCTCGAAGCCCATCCACATTCCAAGAGCAGATCTTGAGTGTGGCAGATTTGCCGCTGGGTGAAGTTTTCTGATCTGGGGGATCCTCATACAGAACTGGGCCCTCTCCTGCTGCCTCTTTAGCGTTTTTCTTTGCTCCCGTCTTACTCTTCTTGGCCTCTGGCTCTATAGAATGAGTAATACATAGTGGTAAAAGTTTGCGGTTTCCAACCGCGATCAGGAATTAACTACAGACCCACCGAGAGAGGGCAGTAATAGCGACTCCTTCACCAACTCCTGCAAAAATGAGTCGGTCCATATTTCCCTTCATCGAGGGAATTAGAAACACCCCCACCAGAGCTTGTAGGGAGAGGGACTCATTCCATTCTCTTACCCGTCTTAAGCTCGTCCCCGTCTTCTGCCACCGCTCCCTTTTTTCCACGCTTCGGCATCCCTGTAACTACGGTCCTTCGGCCCCTGTACCACGCTGTCCACCGAAGCAATATTTTCACTGCGTTGCCTACAGACGCAAAGCAATCGTGAAACCAGCAAAGGAGAAGACTACCTCCCTTGGGCGTCCGGGCACTAGGTCCCGCCTTGCAAACTAGATTATCTCTGAATCTTTTCCCCGCCTCCTTGCATCATAGGCCCTTCAGCCCCTCACCCACCTAACTAGATTATTTCATAGTGCCTTGTACCCTCCTCGCGAGATCTGCCCTCTGGCCAATTGAGGACCTTAATTAAGGGTCCTGATTCAGATTTGCCAGTCAGCCAGCCAGCGAAGCCCCTCTTATGAGCAGAACAGCAACCCTGTATCCGACCTGCTGCGTTCTCAGCCTGGATCCTCCTCACCCGAGCACAAAGAATGGAACACGCTATGCCCCCACGTGGGAACTGGCGTGGTCACGTGATCCCAGATACGGGTCACGTGGAGACGAAATGCGGGTGATTGGTCTGCCCAGCACACGTGACAGAAAGCTCGGCTGTCCTTCCCTTCTCTATCTCTCCGGGAGACTAAAGGCCCCAACCCTACATTCTCGGGCTGTTTGTCGAGGTCACGTGGAGACGAAATGCAGGTGATTGGTCTGCCCAGCACACGTGACAGAAAGCTCGGCCGTCCCTCCCTTCTCTATCTCTCCGGGAGACTAAAGGCCCCAACCCTACATTCTCGGGCTGTTTGTCGTTGTGCCAGATGCAGGACTCATTCTGCCACCCTGACCGACGATTCCAACTTTAAGCAAGAGGGAAAAAAAGCCAGTGGGGAAGGCTGGGCTGGACCACGGGAGAAAGGCGGGGGAACGTAGGAATATAAGGTTTGGAGGCCGGCTCAGTGTTCCTGCCAGTTAGAAAGGTTCTTGAGGGGGCCTTGATTGGTCGCCGTGACGCCACCGGCGGCGCCGGCGCTCCACCCGCGAGAGCTTTCGGTGTCTGTCCAGGTGCCATCTGCTGTTTAGCACCCGCAGACTGGTCGTCTTCCTCTGCGCTGTGGAATCTGCGCCCCGGCACGGACTATAGTGAGGGCCTCCGCGGCTCCACAAGTTACTAGGAGTCCTGTTGGCGTTTTTTCTCAGGCTCCGCCATGCCGACGGTGCTGGGTTTTGAAGGCAGCGCCAACAAGATTGGTGTGGGAGTGGTGCGGGATGGCAGGGTGCTGGCGAATCCGAGGCGGACTTATGTCACTCCTCCTGGCACAGGTGAGTGAGTAGGGGGCTTATAGTTTGCGGCGCACTTTCCCGCATAGCATCACCTTCTGTCTTCCTAAACACTAGTGAAGTGGGGCCTGGGGCGCATTGTCCCCTCCTACAGCTTTGGATTCGAGTCTCGTCGAGGTGATGTGACAGTCTAAACCTCACAAGGGTCATGACTAGAAGAGTCACTGTTACTTGAACCTGGATCTTCTGGGTTCATTCAGTTTTTATTGAGCGCCTTTTATGTGCTAAACGTTGAAAAACAGGTGTTATGAGTTTGCAGTGGAGTCGGGCTTATAAACAGATCTTTACACTACAGCATGACAAGTGGTATAATGGAGCTGGAATCAAAATATTCTAGAATGAGAAGGAGAGAGATGAGAGTAGCAAGACTCCCAGCTTAGGTGTCGAACAGAATTGGCTGGCTTTACCATGTTCATATTTGCTGTGGATTATATGTCCTTCCAAAACTAATTTAAGCTTAATCCCACTGTAACTGTTAAGAGGGTGGGAAATCCTATTATGGTAATTGAAAGGCGGGGTGTTAAAAGAATTGATCAGATTGTGAGGACTGTGTCCTCTTGAATGGACTGATCCATTCATAGAGTAATGGGCATGGTTCTGATGGCTTTAAAAGGAGAGCAACTGAGAAGCTTAGCGCTCTCTCTTGCTCAGCTATTTCACCATGTGATATCTTGTATAACTATAGTCACTACCAGAAAAGGCCCTCACCAGATGTGTTCTCTGGACTTCGGACTTCCCAGCCTCCAAAACTGTAAGGAATAAATTGTATTTCTTTATAAATTACCCAATTTCAGGTATTTCATTATAAGCAGCAGAGATGGACTAATACAAAATTGAATATTTATGTTTTGGATATCTATTCCTAACTCTTAAAATGGGTGTAATAATACCAGTGTTATTGGGTCTTGAGTATTAAATGAAAGTACCAGACACATTACAACTTCTTGCTAATATTATTTTATAGTCTATTATATCTTGCCTGCCCTCCCCAAAACATCTGCACACATAGGTGAAGGCAACTGACTTGCGTGAAAAGCCTCCCTGCATGGGTGATATTGTGATAAGTTATTCATTAGAAATACATATGTATGGGGCCGGCCCGGTGGCGCACTGGATAAGTGCGCCGCTTGGGAAGCACGGCGGCGCTCCCGCCCGAGGGTTCGGATCCCACATACAGACCGGTTCCCGCTCACTGGCTGAGTGAGGCGCGGGAGCGGCACCGAGGGTTGCGATCCCGTTGCCGGTCCCCGGTCCGGTATGGGGGCAACACTGAGGGTTGCGATCCGTTGCCGGCCACGGAAAAAGATAAAAAAAAAAAAGAAAAGAAATACATATGTATGTTTAACACTCACTCTTCTAGGTACTTGGGCACTGAGAATACAAAGATAAATAAAATAGCCAATGCTATTTTGGGATACTCATGGTGAAACTGGGCAAACTACAGATGATTATAATGCTATAATTGTTATGTGTTAAATACAATGTTGTAATCATTTATGGGGTTCTGTAGGGTCACAGAGAAGGTCACCAAAGAGTATGAGGTAGGTATCATTTGAATTGAGTCCTGAAGGCTGAGCAGGAGTTGGGTATAAAGAAGGGCATTTCTGAAAGCTGAACAGCTTATATAGAGGCTGGAAAGAATACATCTGACAACGTGGAAAACAGGATGCTTAAGGAGAGTGAAAGTACTCTTCCTACGTTACTCAGACTCCTGTTGTGTGTGCGTGGTGTTTTTTTGGTTTTTGGTTTTTTTTACTTTTACCTACCTTTGATACAGAAAATCTCTATGGTCTCTGACCTGTGTCTTTTTCCTAGGATTCCTTCCAGGTGATACTGCCAGGCACCACCGAGCTGTTATCCTAGACCTGCTGCAGGAGGCACTAACAGAGGCTGGATTAACCTCCCAGGATATTGATTGCATTGCCTACACCAAAGGTATGGCTGAGAGAGTGATCAAAAATGGAGAAGTATACCTGGAGCCTAGCTAGGTCAAAATAGCCTGTACCTCACCTCTGTCACCACCACTGCTTCTACCCCATCTCTCACATCCCCTACTGCCCCCACCTGTGTTTTCCAATCTCTGAGATTCTAATTCTCATTTCTATCCCTCTAGGCCCAGGTATGGGTGCCCCACTGGTTTCTGTGGCTGTTGTGGCCCGTACTGTGGCTCAGCTGTGGAATAAGCCATTGCTAGGTGTGAACCACTGTGTAGGCCACATTGAGATGGGCCGTCTCATCACTGGAGCCACCAGCCCAACTGTGTTGTATGTCAGCGGAGGAAATACACAGGTATTTAGGGTGCTCCACCCATTTCATCTTAATTTCTGAAGCTCTGAACCAGTGGCTTTCTTGTTCCTGAGCTGCAGGAACTGTAAGAATAAAAGTGGGTTTATCTGAATCTAAAATACTGCACATCAGAAAACCCACAACAGAGTTTGTAACATTGCAGATTTGGGCAGGTTGATTAGAACATTAGCTGACTTTTACCTACGTGAATTTCCAGTTTAGAAAAGGAAAGAGTGGTAAGGATTGAACCCTTCAAAATAACAAAAACTTATTTTATTTCTTTAGATAACTACATTTTTTTGTTTTATATTACAGGGGTAAATATATAGACTTTGTTGTTCTAAGAGTGTGAAAATATAAGTAACTTTAAAAAGCACTTTATAAATGATAGAACTTTATAGGTGAAGCCAAAGTTGTTTGGGATACCTTACATGATCCTTTAAGGTTGAGATTGAATTCCTTTCCACAGATCACCTGGTACAGTTATTATTAGAAATAGTTCAGCATTGTCCCTGGCTTATGAAAGCTTTGTGTTCTAAAACTTAATTTTATGAAATAGTTTTAAAGATGAGGAACACATTCCCACTAAAACAACATGGGAACTTTATCAGGTAAAGGGCAAATAGCTGGTTGAGGCCTGAAAGGTGATAAACAAGGTTAGGGACTTCAGTTGTGGAAAGTAGCCATGGAGGCTGCAGAAGTTGATGGAAAGGAGCAGAGATAGAGTTTTCTCTTCCTCTTTCCTTTTGAAGCTTGGATGTAAAAAAACAGGAAGGATGATTGAGTGGAAAGGAGTGGATAACAGAAGAAAAGCAGGATTTTTCTTTCCCCTTTTGTCACCAGCTTTTTGATAGCAGAGTAAGAGCTACATCAGAAACAAAGGAAATCCGTAACAGCACCAGGAAGGGAAAGAGACTTGTTAAGATCTCTAGGAAGCCCTTAGTGTCAGAAATATGGAGCATATGTATCAGTAGATGATAAATATTCTCTGTACTAAAAGTTAGTCACATATGAAGAATGAGCATAAGTGGATTGCTGTCGCTGAATTGAGTGGGCCATTAGTTTGACCCATACGGCATTTTTGAATTCTTTATCTCTATCTCTTTTCTTGTTTCCAAATATCACTGCCCTGGTAGGATAATCTAAAAGAACTCTTGTTCCCTGCCTTCAAGCAGGAAAGACTGTTCCCAAGTCCACACTGTCAGGACAACTTTTAAAGGGATCTATCAGGAACCTTTAAGCTAGAAAAATGTATTTAAAATGAGTTTGCTTTTGCCCTGACCTAGACTATCTTCTGTATATTAGGAGTCCAATTTTGGAAGGCTCAGGATATATGGGCTGCTTCTCAGATAAGAGCTATAAAAAAAATTACCCATTCGGGATATGAGAAGACACTTTCTTTTCATTTCTTATTGGAAGCTCTAGGGGCCATGTTGATCCTCTACTACATTCTTCCCCAAAGCCAAATGCTCCTCTTTACAGACTTGAGATTTCATGGACATCCTCATCACCCTTAGGTGATTGCATACTCAGAACATCGTTACCGCATCTTTGGGGAAACCATTGATATTGCTGTGGGTAATTGTCTGGATCGTTTTGCCCGAGTGCTGAAGGTAAGCCATTGGGGCTGCAGAGAACATAAGATGTAGGTGAACTTCTGGGGAGCCATGGAAATGGAGGGAGAAAGTAGTAAATATGCTTTTTGTGCTTCTTGCATATCTGGCTTCATCCCATTCACTTCTTAATTTATCTTCTGCTAGATTTCCAATGACCCAAGCCCAGGCTACAACATTGAACAGATGGCAAAGCGGTAAGGAGACATAGGTGGAAGGTGACTGGCTGCTGGGGCTTTAGGGATTTCTCTGTAATAAGGTTTGGAAAGGGCTTTGTAGGGGGAGCAGCCAGAGCTGACTATAGGCTTAATGCCTCATCTGTTCATTCCCACAAAGAGGCAAGAAGCTAGTTGAGCTGCCATACACTGTAAAGGGGATGGATGTCTCATTCTCAGGGATCCTGTCTTTTATTGAGGTGAGTGTGAAAGAGGTGAGGAGATGAGGTCACTTTTATGCTTTTTTAATGAAGTGTATCTGTTTTGTTCACTGTTGTATTTCCTGTATATGGCATAGTACTGGCCTATATCAGATGCTGAATAAATTTATTTAGCAAATATTTATTGAATATCTTCTTTGTGTCTGGAACTGTTCTAGACAATAGAGATATAGTATGGAGCAAAACAAAATTCCCTTCCTACGTGGAGCTTAGATTTTTTTTTTTTAATTTTATTTCTATTATTGTTTTTTTACATTCTAAGATGTTGTGGGGTGGGATGGAGGGAGGAGGGGGAGAGGGGCTAGCCCAGCCCATGGTTGGCTCCTTCACTGGCCTGACTGGGATGGCAGTGGAGTGTGGCTGAGGCCCACGCCCCACCCACAGTTGGAGGGGGGCTTCTGGCAGTGGCTGGGTTGTTGCTGCTGGGCTGGATGCAGGTGGGGATGGGGTGGCTTCCAGCCAAGCTTAGATTCTAATGACAGGAGACAGATTTAAAAAAAAAAAAAAAAAGATACAGAAAGGAAAGTAATAAAATATAGTGTCAGATGGCGATAAATACTATGAAGAAAAAGTAAGCAGGGTGGTAAGTAAGGGGTGGGTGGGAGGTGCCAGGGGGAGCATTCAATATATAGTTACTGAATCTTAAATGATTGCTGCCCATTCTATAGTTTGGTGCCAGTGAAGGGCAATGTGAAACACAATGATCGTCCAAGTGTTCTAATTTAGCTTGAATTTTGAAACACAATGATCTTCTAAGTGTGCTAATTTTTGCTCTCATGTAATTCAAAACCACTGTTTATTGTTTCATTTGTTTCCTCTTTTAATTGTAGGATGTAGCCCAGCGGATGCTGGCCACAGGGGAGTGTACTCCTGAGGATCTGTGTTTCTCCCTGCAGGTAATGGAGTAAAAAGCTGGGACAGAAAATCGGGGTTGGAGGAGCTTTTATATGATAAAGCAGAACTAAGCTGGGATGCCTCTCTGATGTTTTCACCTTTTCTGTTCCCTACAGGAAACTGTGTTTGCAATGCTGGTAGAGATCACAGAGCGAGCCATGGCACATTGTGGCTCCCAGGAGGCCCTCATTGTGGGGGGTGTGGGGTGTACGTATCATTGAATAGTATTTCTCTTTCCTGTTCTTGGCATTGTGTGTCTTCCTTCTGATGATTTAAACCACTAAAGGTTTAGCAAAATTATTAGTTTCATTTATTGTCCTGCCTATGCTTCCCAAGCCTTGCCTCCGGTCCTCTACTTCATTATCTTAAGTAAGTGCACATGAGGTGTACAGCTGGGCTGTGGAAAGATGGCTAAAGCTAAGCTAACCCTGTCCCCTACCTTTTTATAGGTAACATGAGGCTCCAGGAGATGATGGAGACAATGTGCCAGGAACGCGGAGCCCAGCTTTTTGCCACAGATGAGAGGTAAGGGCCCTTTCCCTTTCTTAATTTTTTTTTCTCCTCCCATTGTTGTGATTTTTCATTCTTGAATCCCAAATTTCATATCTCTTTTCTTTCCCAGATTCTGTATTGACAATGGAGCCATGATAGCACAGGCTGGCTGGGAGATGTTTCAGGCTGGGCACAGGACCCCCCTCAGTGATTCTGGGGTGACACAGAGGTGAGTGATCCATTCCTTGGAGGGGGTAGATAAGATTATATGGGAGGTAGGCAAAAATCAGCAGGGAAGAGAGTACAGGAGCATGAGGGCAAAGAATGGAAGGTGCTAAGGGATAGCCCTTTACCAAGTTTTTCTTATTTCTCTACAGATATCGGACAGATGAAGTAGAAGTGACCTGGAGGGACTAACAAGGTTAACAGCACCAAAGTAGATAGTTCCCTAAGTGGAGCCCAAAGGACTGTGGGCCTTAATCTCTTTCCTGATTGTGGGAGTGCTAGAAAGGCTATGGACTTCAAGCAAGGCTTAGGGTTCCCTGTGGGACTCCAAGATGACTCAGTAATAAAATATTTTTGGTTTTGTTTGTTGGTAGTTGGATTGTGTTGTTCAGGACTAATACAGAGTTGGCACTAGTTAAATTTCTGCCAATGGGGTGAATGGATAAGGAGGCAAGGGTCACAACAGTGCCCTGGCTTGCTGTGCAGGTAGTCTTGGAGGCTGCTGCTCAGGAGCCTAGGACAAGGGGAAATCACAGACACCATCCTAACATCCCCTTAACAACAGTATCATCATCATCATATCATTTTAATATCAGGCCCTGTGCTAACTGCTTTACATTCATCTCTTATTGAAATTGTTTGAAGTAAGTATTCAGCACTTCCCTCAAAGTATCCTGGAGATAGGTCTCATTTGTAACTCAAGAGTAAAACTGCCCCTCCTCCATACGCTTCCTCCTACATACTCCTACGTACACTTCCACTGCTGGTTTGAGGGGCTCCAGATACACATCCCTCCCTACTGCAATCACCAGAACTAATCTCATTGTGCCCCTTATCTTGTTTATGTCAATCACAATGAGAAGTCCCAAACTATCAAGTCATCTCATCTTTTGCTCTCTAATAACCATAAATTTCTCCACCCCCATTTTCTTCCCCATCTACCTCCCTCTTCCATCTCCTGAAACTTTTCTGTATTCTCTGGAACTAGTAGCCTGTCATTTGCAAAATTCCCTATACCCTCAGCCTCATCTCTCAGTGTTCCCTTCACATTCTTGCTCTGAGACCTTGTTTCTTGTGAGGACTCTGCTTCTCCTACCACCTCTCTCCTGGTGATGGTTTTTCCTACATACTTGCACCACTGGGCCTAGAGGTGGTGGAGGTGTCCTCATGTTTCCTCGTACTATTTCCAGAGCATTCGCCCTCATCCCTAATTCCTCTCAGCTTTGAAACATTAGACTGTACCACACCAACATCACTCTTGTCATAAATCTCATCCTTCTAACATCCACTTCAGCCACTCATATTTTAGACCCACAACTCCTCAAAATCTCAATCATCCTACTCTTCTACCATTACCTCCTATCTTTACAGTTCATTCCCTTTAGTATGCTGAATCCAACAACTCATCCCGTAACAGAAAACCCTGACATGACCAATGCCATCTTAGGTAGGCACTACTCCATTCTCATTGTCAGACTACCCCCCTCTGCATGAGAAACCAGTGTGACCTTCTCATAGAAACAAAAACAGTTGCATAGAAACAGGAACCATACACAGTGAACTTTTACATAGGAACAAGAACCATACACAATGAAAATTTTTATGCTTGATTGCTTTAACTGCTCACTTGGCTTCTGGTAACCTAGCTACCTAGCTTGCTTTTTGCACCTGGACAAACCTGTGTGCCAACAGGATGTGGTTTTTGCCTTTATAAACTCCACCAGACCAAGGCTAGTGGCTGCTCTCCCAAAATACCTAGGGGAGACAGTCGCCAGCTGGCTAATAAAGACTCTGTTAAAATTCTTAATTAAATGTTTGGTTCCTTTCCTGGGTGACAACCTCACAACAGTCTCTTCACCAGGACCTGTAATCCATTGCTCTTACTTCCTTTCCACTGACTTTATCATCCACGTGTTTTCATTTTCCTCTTTTCCAGCTAAATTCCAGTAAGAAACACTTTGTTGCATATACCTTATCTCCCTTGCCCCTCTTGCTTTTGTCATATCCAGCTCATCACCTACTTTATACCTAGAACCATGCAGCTGAAAGGGCTAGCAAAAAACAGCCATGCTGATAACTGGTCTTACTTTAAATTTATCACTGTGAAATTAAAGTGGGTTCCTTATGCCACTCAGCCATATTCCATGTCCCTAATCCTTAAACTTGCCATCTTCTCTGATAACTCTCATACCTTCTGACCCCTCAGATCTCCAACATCTTCCCCCTTCCTCATGCTTACCTCGGTTTCTGTTTTAGTGAGAAAACAAGAAGGAATCAGAACAGATTTACAAGCTCCCACCACTCATCTAACTGCCTTTTAGCATCTGTATCCAAATGAGGGTATTTCAAAAAGTTCATTGAAAGATTCGTGTTATCTTTTAATTCTATTTTTCCACAAACTTTTTGATGTACCCTCATATACTCTGCTTTCCCTCCTGTTACTATAAACTTATCAACTGGGGCTGATTTTGCTCCTCAGAAGGCATTTGGTTGTCACAGTGGGGCAGGGATGCTACTGAATAAGAAGCCAGGGATGTTGCACAATATCCTACAATGCACAGGAAAGCCCCTGCAACCATTTTGGGGCTAAAATGTCATTAGTATCAAAGTTGAGAACCCCTACTATAAACACTGCCCATGCTCCATGCTCCTGCCTAGATCCTGTCGTCTAGCTTTTAAAGAACTTGCTCAATAATTCTGTCTTTTCAGGGCCGGCCCGTGGCTCACTTGGGAGAGTGTGGTGCTGATAATGCCAAGGCCACGGGTTAAGATCCCTGTATAGGGATGGCTGGTTAGCTCACTTGGGAGAGCGTGGTGCTGACAACAAGTCAAGGGTTAAGATTCCCTTACCAGTCATCTTTGAAAAAAAAAATAATAATAATATTTCTGTCTTTTCTATAGAGTCAGTATTTCTTTTTCTCTCCTGAATCTTTCCATCAGCACACAAATATGCTATCTATTTCATTTTACAAGTAATGCTCTCTTAACCCCATTTCCCCTTCCAATTGCTTTCCATTTTTCTGCTTCACTTAATAGCAAAAGTTAGAGTTGTTTCTAAATCCTCTCCACCAATTCCCTCATTTTTTTCTGTTTTTTTTTTTTGTTTGTTTTTTTGGCAGCTGGCTGGAATAGGGATTGAACCAGGGACCTTTGTATTAGCAGCACCGTGCTCTTTTGTTTGTTTGTTTGGCAGCTGGCTGGAATAGGGATTGAACCAGGGACCTTTGTATTAGCAGCACCGTGCTCTAACCCTGCTGTACCGTACATTAACCAACTGAACTAAACCGGCCAGCCTACCAATTCTGTTAAATCTACTTCACCAAAACTGTTCTTTCCATGATCACTAATGACTTGTACATAGCTAAATCTAAAGTCGTATTCTGGGCTGGCCCGTGGCTCACTTGGAAGAGCGTGGTGCTGACAACACCAAGTCAAGGGTTAAGATTCCCTTACTGGTCATCTTTTAAAAAATAAAAAAAATAAAAATAAAGAATAAAGTCATATTCTGCTTCATCTTACAGAGGCTATCAGCAGCATTTGACACTCCCTCTTTGAAACATTTTCCTAACTTGGCTTTAGGACATATTCTCTACTGTGCCTCTTAACTTAGAGCTCTTTCTTAGTCCCCTTTACTGGTTTCTCCTCATCTCCACAATCTGTTAACTTTCCAGAGTTCAGTCCTCAGGCTGCTCTGTTTACACACATAACTGCAGTGATTTCATTCAGTCATGCATTAAAACCATTTTGATGTGGGTGATGCCCAGTTTTGTATCTCCAGCCTGTCCTTCTGACCTGAATATCTAGCTACCCATTGGCACCTCTACTTAGATGCTTAATAGGCATCATATATTTAACATTTCCAAAATTGAACTTATCTTTTCCCCATCTTACTCCTGCAGTCTTTATTTCAGTCAATGACAACTCTATCTTTCTAGTTGCTCATGTCAAAGCACCTTGGTGTGATCTTTGGCACCTTGGAGTTGTCTTTGACACCTTTCTTTCATATCCTCCAATTCATCAAATTTGCTTAGCTTTACCTGCAAAATATATCCAGAATCCCATTTCTCCTAACTTCTACTGCTGCCACACTAGGCCAAGCTAGAATTACCTGTCTTCAAGATTATTGCAGTAGCTGTTCTTTGCTTCCACCATTGCCTACTTATAGTCAATTGTCAACACAGCAGCCAGAGTGAATAGTATTAACATGGAAGCCAGATTATGTTACTCTTCTGGTCAAAGCCCTCATGTTTTCCTATATCCGAGAAAAACCCAGAATCTTCTAAAGGTCTGGGAGACCATCAATGCTTTGCCCTGCTCTTCCCCACTTACCACTTTGACCTCATCTCCTGCTACTCAGCTCCTTGTTCACCCTGCTCCAGCAACATTGGCCTTTTTCTTGTCCCTTAAGCTCTGCAGGGGTGCTAACTCAAGGCTTAACACTTGCTGCCCCTCTACCTGGAAAGCTCTACCCAGGTATGGGTTACTCCATCATGTGCTTTAAGTCTTTGTTCAACTATTTTTTTTGGCAAGAACTTCCTGACAACATTACTTAAAATTGCACTCCTCCAGCACCTCCTAGCTCCTTTCCCTGTTTTATTTCTCCTCATGTAATCATTTACTTATTTGTTGTTTGCCTCCTCCCATTAGAATGTAAACTCCGTTGGGGGGGGGCAGGGAGATTTTTATCTTGTTTTATTCAGTACTATATCTCCCAGCACTTACAATAGGGTCTGACACATGGTGGGCTTCAATTAGTGTTTGCTGAGTGAATAAGTTGGCAGGGAAGTAAGTCAAAGAAATGATCAGAGAACTATAAAGTAAGACGGGTCAAAAGCTAAAAAGAATTGGGATCATATGAGTTTGGGGGAAAAGAAAGTTTCTGATGTCTTACTAAGTAGAAAGTGGCGATAAACACTTTTTCATTTACAAAGGTTAGGAACATTAAATTGGTTGAGAATGCACTGAGAAATGGAAGTTTAAATTCAAAAACTGAGGTAGAGGATAGAGAGTTTGGGATGCAAGTAGAAAGAAGTTAAATTCCTCTCCTTGAGTATATTTGAGAACAAGAATGATCTCTGTCTCTAGGCTTAGGGATTATTTTTATAAATAGGCAGCAAGTATGTTACTGCACATTAGCCTCAGGTATTGACTTGTAAATTTTTATTAATGTTATGAGGTGAAATGGATCTTAGAAGGAGGACCTTCTTCAGCACTGTAGCCCCAGTTCACATTGCTTAGTAGGGGAGTTCTTTCCTTAGGAAGCTTTGGTATGCTGCCAGAGGCTTCCCAAGGATAGCCTCCAAGTCTGTGGTGCCAAGAAACTAAGATCATGACTCCCTGAGTTCTAAATTGTGGAGTCCTTCTCCTGGCTCA